GAATCCTTGAGATCCCGACGCCACCTAGGCCAGCAAGATACCACCTCCCGGAGGAAGAGATTGTATGTGCTCTTAACCTGATATTCACTCGCCATATCAATGCCCACCCGAATACTATCGACAGACTAAAGGAGTTATTGCTAACATCATGTAGGCTCTCGGCCCGGCATGCTGGCTATGGGATTACTGTAAGTCTTCGCGCCCACCACTTTGAGCTCTATCATCGAATTGTTGGTCTCATCTACTAACCATCAACCTAAAGTGCGACGAAGCAAAACTGCAGGTTACTTGGTCCCGCTATCAGGAGGTATCGACTCATGCGCCACGGCCACCATTGTCTACAGTATGTGCCGCCTCGTTGTCCAGGCTGTAAAGGACGGGAATGAGGACGTAATCGCCGACGTTAAGAGACTTGCTGCCTACTCTGATAAATTGCCCGATACACCAGAGGAGTTTTGCAACCAAATATTCCATACCGTCTATATGGGTATGGCCAATCAAAGCAGCAAGGAGACTCGACAGCGTGCCAAGGATCTCGCCAAACGTATTGGCAGCTACCACACAGATATGAACATTGACGATACTTACCACGCCACGAAGAACTTGCTTACACAAGGCACTGGATTTGAGCCCAAGTTCAAGGTTCACGGAGGATCAGCTGCCGAAAACTGTATGTGTTTCTTTTCTGTGAAGCTGTCAGGGTTCAATGAATTCGCTAACACGGTCAACGTAGTGGCTTTGCAAAATATCCAGAGCCGATCCCGCATGGTAATCGCCTACTACTATGCACAGATGCTGCCGACGGTTCGACAACGGCCTGGTGGAGGAGGCCTACTGGTTCTTGGATCGAGCAACGTTGATGAATGCCTTCGAGGATGTGAGTAATTTCGAAGCCGTCCTGTCTTAGCGAGATGTATGCTGATAGTGTTGTGTTCTAGATCTCACCAAATACGACTGTAGCTCCGCTGATCTCAATCCTATTGGATCCATCAGTAAAACCGATCTGTAAGTCCTTTTTCAATGCGAGATCTCAAAGAAGGGGATGCTGGATGAGACGCTACTCTCAAAATATTCCACATTCATCTTACAGACCGCCAACGCACATTCCAAAACAAGAGATGGCTAATATTTCCTTTTAAAGTAAACGATTCATTACCTGGGCAAGCAACAACTTCGATATGCCCATTTTGGACGAATTCTATCATGCCATTCGTAAGTCAACGTTCGCCAGCTCGCAAATCATCGCCGTCGTTACTAACAATGCAACTAGCCACGGCCGAACTCGAACCCATCACTGAGAACTACGTTCAAAGCGATGAAGGTAAGTAAATTCAACATACAAATGAGAAAAGATCTCGAGCTGACGAGACGAACGCAGCCGACATGGGCATGACTTATGATGAATTATCCCGCTTCGGTGTAAGTACAGCAGTCCTGTCAAAGGCCACACGAACTGAGCTAACCTACCATCAAACGACAGACGCTTCGCAAGCAGAACAAGCTCGGGCCGTACGGCATGTTTCTGAGACTGCTCAACGAGTGGGGCGGCCACGGAAAACTAAGTCCCCGCGAGATCGCCGACAAAGTCAAGCGGTTTCATTTCTATCACTATATCAAGTACGTAAACTTCTCCAACCACCCAATCTACAATTCAAGGCATTAATAAAATGAATTAGTCGGCACAAGCAAACCGTCGCTACACCGAGGTAAGTCTTCATTACAGCCCATAGATCGATCAAGCGTCGTGTCAACCTGGGTAGCCGCCAAAAGGCGAAGCCTCGCCAGATGAACCTCGGCCATTTTCCCCCAGAAATTGGTGTGCAAAGAGATCTTCTAATTTTCATTTTCTAACTTTCTTCTTTTAAAAACACAGCTATCACGCGGTTTCGTATTCACCGGACGATCACCGATTCGATCTCCGTCCTTTCCTTTACCCCCCCGCGTTCGAGGGCTGGTCGTTCAAGAAGATTGACGAGCGCGTAGCAGCATTGGAGAAGGCTCTAGAACGGAAACAGGCTAAAGCATAGAAAGGATTGATTTTTCACCAAGAAATAAAACAAAAATACTCGTCCAAGCCACCATCATTACCAATGTGTTGACTGAAATCTTCCCCGTACGTGGCAAACCTCACATGCTTTCAAACTGACTTCCCGGCCGGATGTCGGTTCCGGGGGCACTGCTGCTGTTGGCTCCTCACAACTTTATCAGGGTGCAGCAGCAGCGTTATCTTTTCCCCAAAGGATCCCGGTTTCACAATGACCAATTAGGCTATTTGGGCGCCGTCCAACGGGCATATCGCTTCTGTGTGAAAAAGCCACAAGTCAAAACGGGCACCAACGAGAACAAGCATCATCATTGGGCCTTTACAGCTATTACCTACCAACAACATGTTGTTAGTCTCGCAGTCCCCATGTCCCGTATGGAGCATCAGAAGTGCAGAGTACACGTCCATTTAGCATTAGGCTCCCCATCCCTTGAACGAGTGATGTATCATATTGGGCGAGCTTCCGGGGAATGCTTGCCGGCATTGACGGCCATCGTCCTAACTACGAGAAACTACCAACTAGCACTGCTACTGCGGGAGGGCATAGTAAGAAGGGGGGAAACTCCCGGTCCTATTGCGGAGACTCTTGAAGGGCTCGAAGGACGCCTTCGCAGAAGATGCAGAAAGAAACGAAACTGCAGAAAGCGCAAAACAGCCATGGGTCCCCCCCGGGCATTAGCACCGAGAGAGAGAGAAAAAAAAGTGCTACGATTTCTAATGCAACCCTCCTTGGACGAAGGAAACGAGCGGGGGGGTGTTGCGTGTGGCATCATTCGTCATCTTTACTCTCTCTCTCCTGCCGTCAGCTCAGTTGGATCAAGTTGGGCCGTCTCACTCTCTTGCCATTAACCAGAAACGTTGTCGTCAGCACAACCACTTGCACATCTAGATCTCGGCATCCCCGTCGATCACGGTCCAGTGAGGCACTGGCGCGAACCACAAGCCCGACTATTGTGTAAGAGATCTTAGTTAGGGCCTTTGCGGGAGTGCCTGTGAAGTCGAGGCCTAATCCCAACTCTGCTAGTGGGCTTGGGAACTGAACGGGACTGTAGGAGTAGGTTCGTTGTTTGCCGTGAGATGTATTCGTTATGCCTTGTTAGGCTTTGGCTTTCCCTTTTTCCCTATAAATAGTGTATAGGACCTATCACAAATACAATACGAACACTGGACACTCTATACATAGTTGTCGAGTAATGTGATTATCAAGTGCCAACATGCCAGCATCGCTCCGTAATTAAGCGGAGATTTTTAAGCTGGCGGTAGCGAGGGACTGGGATTATGAGTTGTCTCCGTGATGCCAGGCAAAGGGGACGGCCAATTACTATCTGTGCTTTCCGTATTCCGTGGGCACCCGTATTCCGCGTTTGCATTCCGTAATGCTGGGTTGTTAAATTGCCGGTGTTATGCTTGGGGTCAGATCGGCCAAGGGAAGATTGTGTCTCCTTCTCCTTTCTGTCAGGCAATTAGCACAGGGCTCGGTCACTAATTGCCGGAGACAAAAGGAGAAGATGGGGTTGGCGAGACGGGGTCCTTGTCGATGGCGTTGTGGCGTTAGAAGTTGGTCTTTTGACAGGTAGGCGCGGAGCCGAAGAAGCAGAAAGAAGAGTTGCATAAGCCATCTCGTTGCGAGAGCACGGGAGTCCGCACACACGCAGGCTCGCAAAAGGACCAAGTTTCGGGCCCGCGACAAGTCTCAAACACACGGCTTCGGCTTGCGGACAAAGATGCCAAAGGCGCTTGGGTTTCGTTTATCGATTCTGGGGGCTCCAGGACAACGCTATGCTAGGGCGAGGCAGGGGCTCGATGATAGTTGGGATGCGGAAGAAAAGCCGACTTGGCCCGTCATGCTCGAGTCCATTTTTTTCGTGCGTTAGCCGACTTGTCTGTTGTTCGCTTGGACTGTTTTGTTTGTTCGTTGTGCTAGTGCAGAGAGAATCCTCCCCCTCCCCTTTCTCTCTCTTGTGAGTGATCGGACGACAATTTTGGGAGATGGGCGCGAGCGGCTCGCACGAGCATGCGTTCCAGGTAGTAATACTGGAGTAGCGCATCAGCAATGACATTTTGACTAGAATGAGTGCTGACGCCTCTTTTTTGCTTTTTTTTCTCCCATCTTTTTTTCTCCAGTTCCCGCTCTGGCCCCCAACGTATCTATCTCGGCCGGGGATAAGACGCTATGTAGGCTCGAGCATTAGCGCAACGCGACCTGCCTTTCTTTGGACGTTGCGATGTGATGCGTTGCGACGACGGCAATGCAGGAGCATCAAGACGGAAACTTGTCTCTTTTTGAGGCAAGGTCAGGCCAGACCACACCAGACCAGACAAGTCGGGTAAGGTCAGCACAGGCACCGTCCATCCAGGCCAGAAAGCGGCATGTAGGCTACGGAGCACTGTAGCAGCAGTATTACCAACGGCATCTCTTGGCTCCAAGGGATGAATGGTCGTGCGTACGGCACAGTACCGTACCGTAGGATCCATGGATCAGCGACGTTTGGTCCTTTCCTAGCACCGCACACGCATCTTTACTGCCGACGTCTGAAGGGGGATCGCCGTCCATCTGCACGGAGCAGGGCTGCGGCCAACACTAGTCGAGCTCCGCACAGACATTGGTCCAAATAACCTCTGGCCCGACGTGTAGTATATCTTGTGTCTTGTGCTTGAGATGCCAGGCCCTTCTAGTTCAGCGCCACCGACAGACACACACTTGGTAGAACTTTGAAAAGTAGCACCACTATGTCGTAGGTGAAAGCAATGTACTCTCAGCTCAAGTTCAGCAGCAAGTCCTAGCACCGCTGCTAGGGAGGTACTCGCTCCTAGCATGTCTTTGTGGTTGATCCAGAGGCATTGATGGCGCTTGTTAGTCCGGTCCAGATGTTGGGTCTCTCGATGCTTGGATGTCGCAAGGCGGGTCTTGTGGTGCCGAGAGCCAGCGACACAGAGACGCCTCAAGTCTTGGCCGATGCCGCTGTCGTCGTCTTTTTTTGCCTGCACCGCCCCGGGCTGGCTGCTGTGCTGTACGAGTATTGATACATGTATCGTGTTGATTATTTGTTGCCACGCATGTCCTCGTGATGATTGAGCTCCGAGACTTGACTTGGTTTATCCTGGTACCGGTACTTGATTGTAATTGCAAATGACAGACATGAGCTGATGGCAGCTGGAGATTCATCTCATCACATTTACATCCAGGTCGACGACAGGCACATGCCCTTGCCGCAGCTGAGGCCAGTGGCTCTTGCCCACATCCAGTTGGCTGGACACGCCGCTTTTCCAGCGCCAAGGGACTTGCGCCATGTACTGGTACCTGGCCGGGCCTGGATCCGTTGCATGATGCTGGCAGCCTGCGGCAAGGTCTACAAATGGTCTGCACATCCAGCACTGTCCAGTACGGTCCCGCACGCAAAGACGCTGCCCCGCCATCTCCTAAAGGCCGTCCCACCAACGCGCAGATGTACCGGTACATGCATGCAAGCCCCCTTCTGCCATCCCATCCCATCCCCATCCATCCATTAAGCAGAGCCACTACCGTTTGGCACCGACTGCTAGGGTTCCCTAGCATTAGCATTAGCAGCGGAAAGCTGGGCTGGACCTCAACCTACGGGGGAGCTGCTCGCGCGACTCCAGCTCCTAAACTAGCACTGGAGTTGGCCGCACACAAAAAGCACCAGGAGCACAAAAAATAATGGAACTGCAGGGGAAAAAAAAGTTTTTGCCGCCAGCATCGAACTCGCATGCATTGCATTGGATGCATCATCAACACGGCGCCGGTGAGCTGCTAGCGACACTGGATTGACTCGGATCTTGCTAGCCTTTTCGCTCTCCTTTTTAAGCCCAGCTGGGGCCTGCGCTTGGACCTCCGGCGTGCGAACACATTGATCAGTGCATGTACGGAGCAGTCGTTAGATTCATTTTTGCATCTCCATCTCCATCCGCATCTCCATCCGCATCTCTATCAGCCCCTGGTCGAGCGTCGAGCAAAGCCCTTGCTGCTGCGCTCCCCAAACCAGAAACGACCCCAATCCAACTGAAGCCAAAACAAACCGAAACAAACCAAAACCAAAACCAAACGAGCCCTGAAAAAAAAACCTCCTTCTCACATCGACTGACCCCCCCGTTGGCGCTCATCCCGTCCACAAACCCCTGCTGAACCACCCCGGCAATTCTGGCTCGTTGATCCTACTGCTGCAGGCACTTCCAGGCACGGTCACCAAAAGCCCTTGTGGGATCCCGTTCGAGACTACTTGTCGTCTGCGGCAATCGGAACGGCGCATGCCAAGCACCAACTGCGTCGTCTCTATCCTCTCGTCTCATCTCATCTTTTCTCTTCCTCTCTTCTCTTCTCTCTTCTCCCTTTGGCTGTCGAGGTCTGACCGGGTAACCTGTGTATCTGTCTGTATTTTGTGGCGTTGGTCACGTTCGCCAGCTGTCCTTTATATCTAGGGCTCCCCAACTGACCGAGCTCCCTTTCTGGACCGGTGGGCTTTATTACATCTACCTGCTGAGTGACCCGGCATCGTCTCCCGGCGCAGCTGTGTTTCAATTTCTTTCTTTTTCTTTTTCCCAGACTTCTTTCTTTTCTTTTTTTCGTCTCTCCGTTATCTCTCGTACCCTCTGGTCCACCGCATTTACGCAGCCATCTTTTTACTAAAACCATTCGGTGGTCGCCGGCCAACCTTTTCCCAACGCAATATCGGGTATCGCCGCCTGCATTGATTCGCCTGCTCCGCTAGCATCTACTTTGCTTCCTCCTCAGACTACTCCCTATTACAAGCTTACCAGGGGACGAACCCGACATTAAAGCAACTTTTGCTCAGGGCAATCGTTTCATTCACCTTTTTCTCCTCCCGCACGGCTTGCAAGCTCAACGTCATCTCTCCCACAGCTCTGCGCCAGCATCGTTCCATTTTCCCGCCACCGCAGCACCCTAAAGATTGAGTTTCCAGCAGCCGCAGCCATGGCACCACACCCAACTCTCAAGACGACCTTCGCCGCGAGGAGCGAAACGGCGACGCACCCCCTAACCGCCTATCTGTTCAAGCTCATGGACCTCAAAGCCTCTAACCTGTGCCTGAGCGCCGATGTACCGACAGCGCGGGAGCTCCTCTACCTTGCTGACAAAATCGGCCCCTCCATTGTTGTGCTCAAGACACACTATGACATGGTCTCTGGCTGGGATTTCCATCCCGAGACTGGCACCGGTGCCAAGCTGGCCACGCTGGCTCGAAAGCACGGGTTCCTCATTTTCGAGGACCGCAAGTTCGGGGACATTGGCCACACCGTCGAGCTGCAGTACACCGGCGGATCGGCGCGCATTATCGACTGGGCCCACATCGTCAATGTCAACATGGTACCGGGCAAGGCATCTGTGGCCTCGCTGGCCCAAGGAGCCAAGAGATGGTTAGAGCGTTATCCCTGCGAAGTCAAGACGTCGGTCACTGTTGGCACTCCCACAATGGATCAGTTTGAGGACATCGAGGAGGTCAAGGAGGCCGAGCCCGTCACCGTCAATGGAAACGGAAACGGAAACGGGAATGGCTCCTCAAACATGATGGAAAGGCCCATTTACTCTGGTCGAACCGGAGACGGTCGCAAGGGAAGCATTGTTTCCATCACCACCGTCACTCAGCAGTACGAGTCTGTTGCTTCGCCCCGGTTGGGAAAGGCAATCGCCGAGGGAGACGAGTCACTATTCCCAGGCATTGAGGAGGCACCGCTAAACCGTGGCCTCTTGATTCTCGCTCAGATGTCTAGCCAAGGCAACTTCATGAACAAGGAGTACACTCAGGCTTGCGTGGAGGCGGCTAGGGAGCACAAGGACTTTGTCATGGGCTTCATCTCACAGGAGACGCTCAACACAGAGGCTGACGATGCCTTTGTCCACATGACCCCAGGCTGCCAGCTTCCTCCCGAAGACGAAGACCAGCAGACGAACGGCACCGTTGGAGGCGATGGCCAAGGCCAGCAGTACAACACGCCGCATAAGATTATTGGCCTCGCCGGTAGCGACATTGCCATTGTGGGCAGAGGCATCCTCAAGGCCTCAGACCCCGTAGAAGAGGCAGAACGATACCGGTCAGCAGCGTGGAAGGCCTACACAGAGAGGCTGCTGCGGTAGGAAGGAGAAAAATAAAAGCAAGGGGAGGAGTGCGGAGCTGGGAGAAGCTCTTGTCCAATGCCGGCATCATAGAATGCAATGTATTTAGGCGAACTCTATCTTCTTCTTCCTTTTTGTGGTCTAGCTGGGACGTTGCCCAGTGACGTTGATATCATTGCATGCACAAAGGTGGAGGCGAACTGAACATTGGTGGATCTGGAATTTGGAATTTGGTACGATATGCTCGCGAGTTAAGGCAAACAAACGTTGGGATTTTGTAGGAACATTTAGGATCAACGTCGATGGTTTTATTCTACTTTTTTTTTTTCATTATATAGGTAATAAATACGACGGGAATTTTCAAGTCGATAGTATCAATACTATTGGAGCCCGTGGAGGCTTTTCTTCTGCTGCCGGTGCTAGGATATAAACACCAGGACTACTCTGGCCGCTGCAACATCGCATATGCATGATCCTGTTCCCCCAGCACTTATCTGCTAGCTAGCTCTGGAGAAAGAGGCCCGTCCATGCCAAAAATAAAACCAACCGCCCGTTGATAGGGAACCATCCCAAGTCTAAAAAAGCACCGATCCGGGTTAGGTACTTAATGCTGGTCTGGTAATAAGGCTGCCCATATCCGGGATTAGTCGAAGCACGGAGCAACACTGTCCGCCGACGCACTATTTTCTGATCCGCGACAAGGGCTGCTAGAACATGCGGTGCTCCGATGGCACAATTTATTGACTTAATTCAATAGGTCGATATGTATGCTAGTACTCCGTAAGGTGGTCAAGATTTGGCCCCCCAAAAGAGGCCGCGTTTGATGACTATTCTCTTGGGCGTTTTAACTTTACCGCTAACGTTCCTTATTCAGATACGCTTGGCTCATACCTTGTTTTTAAGCTCATGGAGGCAGATTAACTGATGAGCGAAGCAATGAGGGCAGGGAATACACATTCGAGTCGTCACCCCGACAGGCATTACTTACGCTGTGAAGACAACTTGGCGGGGATGTCTGCATTGATCGTAATTTACATTACCGACTGCATGTATTACAGAGCAACCCGGGGAAGACCAATGTCAGCCGGCACATTGCAGCATCTATTTGTCTTGGCAAATACGTAGGTAGGGAAGAGAAACAACAGCAGTAATACAGTAGTATTAGAATGCACATCTGCTTGCAAGTCGACAAATGTACGCAAGTCTGTACTATCTAATCACCGGCGGCCCGGATTTAACGCGGAGGCCTTCTGCGGCAATGCCATGATTCTCCGTGGTCGCCGGTCGCCCCACCTGCCTGCCATTCTTTCGGTGCAGCTCTTCAGTTCAAGTTTCCAGGCTTGCGCAATTCCGCATTGGTGCCCTTCCACCGACCATTTTTCTCACTCCTCACCGTTGCCGCTCCCTCAAAACCGCATCATCCGAAGCCAGCGTCCAATTTCACGAGCGAAAACATGACCGACATCGAGGTGGCCGTCAATGTGCGGTCCGAGCGGGGCCCGACCAAGAAGCGGAGACGGGTTGTCATCTCGTGTACCGAGTGTCATCGACGGAAGCAAAAGGTCGGGACCGAAGCGAAAGCCCGTTGGATGATCGGGGATGGATGCTGACGTAGAGCGAACAGTGCGATCGCGAGCTGCCATGCGGGAACTGCAGGTCCAGGAACAAGGAAGCCCACTGCGCCTATGAGGCCGGAGCGCCCACCGCCCGCGACCAGGAGACGCAGGCTGGCCTCTACACCTCCAAGCACAGTGATAGCGTCACGCCAACTTCGAGGGCCGAGCCGCTGTCGTCCATGGCCATGTCTTGGGGATATGCTCAGACGGGGGCGTCCACGCTCTGCTTTCTCCAGAAGATTGAGAGGGCCAGCGAGGCGGATGGGGAGGATGCGCTGTCCAGCGCCTCGGGCCAGGCCACATACTCAGATACCTTTGCCGTCAAGGAGAAATACAAGGGGCTGATCCGACTGCTGCCCGCAAGGATGTACATTGACCAGCTGGCGGAAATCTTTTTCAAGGACTTCAACTGGCAATATTACCTCGTCGAGCCCCAGATCTTCTACGAGCTGCTTGACCAGTGGTCCAACTTGCCTTTCAAGGTCCTCTCTTCACGCGGCCCGGAGGCCTTGTCGCCCGATCTGAGAGTCTTTCCAGCACTGCTGTTTGAAGTTATTGCAACATCAATGCTGGTTCTCCCCAAGCCTCTCCACGAGTCTTTTGAATCGCTCAAATACGCTGCCAACATGACGTTTGAGGATCTGGCAGCCGACTACAGCGAGTCTGGGATTGCCATCATCAACCTCTTTGGCCCCAAGATGCTTTCTTCCACGTCAATCCAAGTTGGATTCATGCGAGCGGCCTTCCTCAAGTATACCGCCAACGTTACTGAATCGGTTCGTGGATACCCATGGGACTCTTATCACGTGGATGTGATGATTTTGCTGACGGTAGTTGTGTGGATTAGTGGCACCAGATTGGTAGAACGATAAGAGACGCACAAGAGCTTGGCATGCATCGAGATGCGCTCGACCCCAAGCCGACGTCCAACGATGTAGAAAGCGTCTTGTTAAATCAGTGGCAGGTGGAGAAGAGGAGGCATCTTTACATGATGTTGGCAACATGGTAAGTGATTTTTTACTCCGCCATATCAACAAAGTGAGAAAATTAAAGTTTTCTGACGATAGACATGA